AAATAATTAATTAAAATTTTGTATAAATATAAATGTTAAACTCTATATAAGTAAATGCTACTTATATTTTTATATTAGTGTTTACACCATAAATTGCATTTTTTAAGTAATGCCACGTGTCAACAGATAAGGTGAGATTAAATCCACTGAAAGGATGCATACCTGTAAAGTTGGTTAGGAGGATAAATGTTATTTAGTTGTTGTACGTTGAATTTAAAAGGAACATAAATCTCTAGAATTTGGAAGGAGGTTGTCTGTGATCTGATCAGCCAAAAAACAGTTTGCAAGAAGGATATAAATAAAAGCTTTCCGAATTTTTTCAAGACATAGCTAACCCTACACAGAAACTCATCAAATTTTTAATTCTTTAGTTTCATAGTGGTTGCTCATTTTAGCTTTCAGATTTCAATTTAGTACAGATCCCAATAGATTTATATTATTTTCAGCATTCAAGTATCCAAATTAATTTGTGTAATTGCTTCTTTGATTTCTTTTCATGCAATAAACATCATGTTTACTCTAATTTGCCTTTCATTCAGTTCATTTTAGATCTATTAACTTAAATTCATAGTTATAGTAAAGTTCTTGAAATTGTCCTAAGCAGATTAGTAACACATTCTGTAAAAAAGCATCCCTTTCTCTTATAAATCGTCTGAAAGACGCAAAACTCAGTTTTAAAGTAATATTTTTCCAATCATCCTAATGTAGGTAGACTACGTGAAAGGAGAGGATCATTGCGAAAATCTTTTTTTCTTGCTTTTAGAAAAAATAAGTAACACATTTGCATTCATATTCTGCACATGTAAAGCCACTTGAAGATTTTAAGGAAACAATTAGTATTAATTTTTTTTTTTTTGAACATTGGAGAGTTTAAGAGAGGACAATATTTTTTTAAGGCATTGATTAAAGTTGTAATATCGATCAAATACATTAAAACACTTAAAGTTTAAAAATGAATTACTAAAACGAATTATTAGGACGAATCACGGGGTTTGAAGGCCCCGTTCTTTTATTAGTATTAATTAATATTTTACATATTTTAAAAATATATTACAATTCAAGACAACTTAACCCTTCCGAACAAAGCAAGCAATGACTTAAATCCATTAATTTTTCTTTTTATTCTTAAAATCTTATTTACTTCATGGTATTAATGTTTCAGTCTACCTCATGACATTATTTTTTAGGTTATATCCCCGATTCAGTCCCTCAACTTTCATTTTTGAACTAAAACTACCCTTGAACTTCAAAAAGTACTAAAAAAATCCTTGAACTTCAATTTTTGGGACAATTTCGTCCTTCCGTCAATTAAGTGCTGACATGGCAATATTTCCCGTTAACAAATTCAATTTTTATTAATATTAAATATTACCTGAAAATAAAATGAGTGATGTGACATTTTTAATTATAAAAATATTATGATTGGACACCAAAATTATAATTTAATAAATAAAAAAATTTTTTTTTTCTTTCCTTTCCTTTCTTTTTCTCCTTCTCTTTCCTTCTCCTTCCCCTCCCCTACTGGGTTCAAAGGAACCCAGCACCAACGCCTGGGTTCCTCGAACCCAGGCGCGGGTCGAGGCACCAGGCGTGCTGGGTTCCTTCGAACCAAGCACGCCTGGGTTCCATCGAACCCAGGCCCTGGGTTTGGCTCTGGCCGCCGATGCTCCGGCTCCGACCCCGACGGCTGGTGTTGGCTCGTTGTCGCCGTCATTTGTCTCGGCTGTCTTTGCCGTCGTCGTTGCTTTGCTTCTCGGCTCCTCGCTCCGGATCTGAGCTGAGATTGCTTACTGGCGGTCGTATGCCATTCGCTGATTGTGGATTCATAGGTATCTTGTTGAGCGATCTGTTTGTTTTCCATTTTATTACCATATTGATATAGTAGTAAATCTAGAGGCTTCACGAACGTTCCTCAAACCCAGGTGCTGGGTTCCGAACCCAGCGCCTGGGTTTGAGTCGAACCCGCCTGAGTTTTTTTGTTCTGTTTTTTTGTTGGCTTGCAGTCATGCTTGAATGGGATTTAGAGTTTTGTGTGGTTTCTGATTGCTTGAATTTCCAGATTTAGTTACTGTTGATGTTGATTGAAGGAATGT